GCCGCGGAGTCGACGCACGCGGCTGACCAGCAGCCAGTTCCTTCTGCGGTCCCATCGGGACTTTCTGGGCCAGATTACACCGGTCCATCTGCCGGTTCCGACGAGTGTGACCCAGAAATGGTGGGCTTCGAGCTGGTGACTGGGTACGTGTTCACCGCACCCACGAACATGCTCGAGTCCATACCGGGAACTCTGATGCTCACCGATTGCTTGGAGACCTGTCAAGCGAACGATTCCTGCCAGGCGGTCAACTACGAGACGGGCCTGTGCGTTCTGTTCAGCTCGAACGCCGACAGCAATCCAGGTAAGATTGAATCGTTATCGTATCGCTGCGCGTGGATGTTCCGTGTCGTGAAACTCGATCAACGCGCGATATCCTATAAGACTGCAAACGTACCATGGGTCAAAAGACTAAAGCGTATAGCGTAGAGCCAGAACGATCAGTCTTTCTCCCGATTCGTCGACGTTGAACGGTGCCACGCATCCGCTGATCCTACATATATGTATGTTCCTGGACGAATAAGGGAATTCCACGAAGCGTGGAAGCGTACCGCAGAATGATTAAATGCCTAGAGACGATGGATAAAATAGACGTGTGTCGTTTCGTACGAGCCAGCCATCGCCGCTTTTATGCGGCACGTGAGCCGCCTCTCTGAGGACGTAACGGGTTTCCAGACGATATTCGGACGGTTGACGGCTATTTGCTTGTTCGATTGTGAAGAAAGTATGCGCTGAGGTAGGTCGGACCAAGATTGAGGTCAGCCTATGAATACGCTCGTACAATTGCTCTTATATCATCGAACCTCCATTTACCTTCAATTTTCGTGAACGGTACCCTCGTTTCTTTCCTATTTATTCAGGGCTTTTTAGCTAACTTTTTTAGTTAATTGTGTAGAACTTAGCAACGCGTCAGATGTAAAATTATATGTTATTGAAATCTCGTTTGTGTTTAATCTTTCCGAAGATTATCTTTGTTTCGTTTGTATTGCAGCTTTTCAGTTGATCGTAAAGAGATTAAGAATCCATTTTAAATGTAAAATTTCGTTACATCAAAATTCGATTTATCTTTAATTTTTATAAACGTCGACTTTACTTCGTTTCTGTAGAACATTTTTAGTTAATTGTAAAGAAGCAAGGAATGTGTCTACCATGTTTCGTATTATCGAAATTCCGTTAGTCTTTAATTTGTGAAGGTCAGCTTTGTTTCATCTGTATTGTTTTATATAATCGTGGAAAAGTTGTATGTAATACAACTTGGGGAAATGGGACAAGAAGAAAGAGAAACGTTTATTTATAATTGGCTTATCGGAAAACGTCGCAAGAGCGATGGTTCAAGTAAGAAGTTGCGTAGTTGTACTGTTGCTGTAATATCGTATTATGAATTTTAATATTGAAGTTTTAAATGTAGAGACCAATTAGAAATAATGGATCGTTACGATGGAATATTTTTTCTCAATTCTGAAATTGAGAACCCTCTAATTAGTAGTTACTGGATGGAATTTTTTAGCTTCTACCGGAAACAAGTTGAAAGAATTCGTGTTTAACTTATAACGTATAAAATGTATAAAAATTTGGTTTATTAAATTCATTAGAGAAATGGCATTGTATAAAACGTAACTGAAATGATATTTATTAAGACTAATGGTTCTAAATTATCTTACCAGTTATATAATTACTAAATATGCATATAATTGTATGAATATTAGGAATGAGTATTTTGAATGTATAAATCGTATGAATTCATGAAATATTGAAGGAATTAACAAATTTTCGTGTAGTGGTAGGATTAAAAAATGGTAGGATTGCAAATCGGAAGAATTTATGCCTAAATGCTTAGCAAATCTGCAATTTAATCATGTTATTCGTTTGATAGAATTTTCTGATTCGTATTTCATTTTTCAAACGTACATATATATTCGATCGTTATTAATCGTCCATTTCGCGGATTATACATCCAGGTATCGCGTAATCCATGTTTGTCGATAGAATCGCAATATCCCACGTATCGATTTTGTACGCGCTGAAAAATCCACAAGCTTTTGAGCCCCTGGCTAACATCGGAAAGCATTCCCATTTTCCAAAATATTGTTGACTCGGTGAACATTAAGCACATTTTCTCCTGCGGGAAAATTTTTCTTATTTTTACGGATTTAGATTACAAAATATTTTCAACAAATTGCTTAAAAATAGTAAAGAAAAGAATTATACGCAAATTGTAGTATATTTAAAAAAAATTCACTTTCCCTTTTCCATCCTTTTTTTTTTGTATTTTACTTCGTGTAAATTATCTATTTTTTTTTCTTTCTTTTTAATTAATTTGCTTTAATTAACTTGACACTATAAAAAAATGTTACTTGACTATTTTTCTGAATAGGAAATTGTAGTTTCAGTTTATAATATTATATTATACAATCTTCTATGTGTGTGCTCTAGCTAAAACGATAGACGTTACCTGAGACGGCTATCTTCTTAGTCAACACTTTAAGGTGGCACGTGCTTTGACTTCTTAATTATTTTTAAAAACTATCACTTTCCTTTCGAAGCATGAAAAATAAGATCTATCTTCAATGGCTGTAGACAAATCATTTTTGATTATAAAATTTATGAACTAACATTATAAATAACCCAAGTGAATTGACAATTAAAATAATGAAAATGCAATTATTGTTAAATGTAAATATACCAAAATATTGAATCAATGTGAAATTAAATAAAAGTTAAATTATAATTCCATTTTGCAAAATTTACCAGAGTATGGAATACTTTCTCAGTTACACCAGTTTCCCCAAAATTATAATTTTAAATCGAAATACAAAAAGTTCCGCCAGGGGAAATATCGGAACAAAATTTCGCAGGTGACAAAATGTGTTAAATTCCGTGTGCTCTCGGTGATATTTGTACGTTTGAACACTTGACAACCGCGGAATGGTATTGCCTGGAATATATATAGCCGGGAAGACACTTCGTCTCTGTAGAATCCCCCAGGTTAAAGAATTTGATTGAGCCACGTCGATTGAAAATCACCTTACGTGCTATCTGTCTTCGATTCCCCTCGATCTTATTTAAATTCTTGTAAAGTACGAAGCAACGTTCGCACTCCGCGGCACAGTTGATTTTTCTACAAAACGTTCGAGCGAAAAATCGAGAGCCAGGCGAAGGAGATTTGTCAAGCACTCCTCGACCTACTCCTTCGTCGCGAGGCGTCGAACCGAAGACAGTTTTAAGCCATTCCACGGAAGAGCGTCGCTCGGATTACGTGTTAAAGTTTCACTGTGTGTAGTCGCTCATTTTTACTGCCTCTCTTCCTCTTTCTCTCTCTCTCTCTCTCTCCCTCCCTCTCCTTCTCTCTCGCTCTCTGCTCTTTTTCGTCCCGTTTGAACGAGTTTTTCGCGTGAAAAAAACCGGCAGCGCGAATTTCTGCGCTACGCCGTCAATTCGCGCGTCGATTGCGCGTTGTGCACAGTTTCAAAAAGCAAAAGAAAACATCAGAGAGAGAAAGAGAGAGAGAGAGAGAGAGAGAGAGAGAGAGAGAAAGTCGATGTGGAAAAAAAAGAGCGGAGAGAATATTATTTTCACGACTGCTCTCGAACGGATGGAACTGAAGCTGAAACGCTCTAAAATATCTCGACAAAAGGGAAAAAAATCGAGTGCTCAACAGCTGAAATTCGTTGCTTCGCGCGACCAAGTATTAGATTATATCGTCATCGAGGAGACTAGAATTGAAGCAAATTTGCCAGGCAACCGATGTAAATACGGATCAAACTTTAAAACTTCTTGAATTTGATTAAACCGAAGGGCAGATTAACTCTCGCTAAAAGTTATAGTGGAAAGTTTGATCCCCGTTGGTTGGTAACATCTATTAAAAATACAATTTGCTTAAAAGTCGCGGCGGTTGTCGTTAATGTAATCAAAGATGCATCTACTTACAAAGTAAAATGTTAAAACGTGAGGCTTTGTAAAGAATATTTAAACACTTAAATTAAAGTCGTGTTTTTCAAGGTATAATTAAAATAAATAATAATAAAAGATAGCAAATAATAAATTTTAGCTTCCAAAATTATGGAAACACTTGTATGTATACTTGTATACTTGTATATACAAGTATGTATACTTGTATATAGATCAGCTTTCTCTGGATTCCTAAACTCTTCATTCTTTTTTGTCATTTTTTATTACAACCTCAATTTCAAGGCAATTGATAGGAATGTTTTTTGCAGTACTTTAATTGTAAAAATCTAGGAAGCCGTAAATCACATCAACCAGAATGACCAAGTGAGCGACATCAAATAAATCATACATTGAGCATTCAATATTATAATCCATTCATTTCGACGTTCATCCTAACTACTGGTGCGAAGATGTGTGTATTACGTGTAACATTTCTCAATTGAGTTTAGAAAATTACGTGTATATTACCTAGCTCGAAGGCGGAGATTAAGATGTCATTAATATTCATACGGTGAATAGTATGAAAAGTATGAAGTCAACGTATGATATGATAATGCAAAGTAGGACGTTAGAATAATTTTATATGAAACGCATAAGAGAAATAGGAATATTTTTCGAAATCATAAATTATATTTACACGGAAATGGAAATACATATAAATAAAATAACCAGAGGAATTTAGGAGGAAATATTGCTTATGTGAGAGTAAAACATTATCACTGTATACGCAAAGAAACGGAGCAAGGCATAAAGTTTTATTTCCTCTTTCGCAAGATAGAACTGTTTAATATTTGATACGCTTTCCCTTACCTTTATTTAGACATAAGGTTGTTTAAATTATGATTCGACGTGAATATATTTTTGATTCTTTTCCCCTGATTTCGCTTAGTGTTGTAAATTAAATTTCTGAGGTATCTTTAAAGGAAAATGATAAATTACATTTCATACCTTTTAAGCTACTTTCATATATTCATTGTGTATATTACATATGGCTATTACTTTGAATCCAATAAATTTCAATGTAATGATATTTCGATAATTCGATAATTTAATAATTTCAATAATTCCATATAATCCAATTTTCATGAGAAGAATGCTAGAACTTGCCTTGATATCGTAGATATAATAAATGGAAATAACATAAAACGAAATACCTATATACCGTACATATAATTCATTTCATAGTACCGTATGCTGCTTTCTCTTTAATGATTTAATGATTTGAATAAGGAGCAATAAACAGTGATATATGAGCAATGTATGTAATAATCGATATCTATTTCGAAATTATAGTATTTTAATACTTTCTATGCCATGGATTTATTCAGAAGCAATGTAAACTAAAATTAACTTTAT